GTTTGGGGTTTAAAAAAATACCCAGATACTTTGATTTTTAGCAGATATTTACATTAATTGTTTGAGAAATAGTTATATGGTGTTTAAAATCATGAAGAGTCAAACTTTCTTTTAAATATTTATCTTTTGTTATTGTGAGCTGAATTGATAGGATAGAATTTTAAGTGTAGAAATAAAGATTACTTACAAATATGATTGTTTTCTTTTAAAATGTATTGAAAGTTTGTTAAATTTTCATTATTAAACAGGAGAGCAAAAGAATAAGGAACAGCACAAGAGAAAAAAAAAACATTCTGGAAAATGCCACAATAAAAAAAAAAGTAATGTAGCTCATGGATTTTATTTTCAATATGTGTGGATTTATATATATACATGTAAATAGTTTTCACTTTCTTGTATGACTGTACCAGAAAATAAAACTTTGTTCTATATAAAGCATTCAAAATGTTATTTGCATCAGTTGTAAGTTTTTAAAATAGTGTCTCTGAGTCCATATAAACAAAAAGAACCAGTAAAATGCCTCGGTGTATTGTGCAAAAAACGTGTTATAAATCTAGTTCAATACGACTGTTTTAAGAACATCAGTTGTGTAAAAATGTTCATGTATATTTTCCTTGAGGGGATGGAAATTGTGGAAGTCATAGGCTGCTAGATCAGGACATTATGCAGGATGGGGAAGAACTATACATCATAACTTCTCAATTGAAGTTGTTAAATGAAAAGCCATATAGGACCCGACATTATCGTTTTACAAGAGAACATCTTGCAGTAAATGGATACCGACTTATTAATCTGATAATTTGTTAGCCACAATTCACTCACAGCTCTTCTATGTATGGGAAAAAAACTGTTCCTCACTGATTATGATTGTAATATTATTAAACAATCGGTGACTTTGTTATAATCTATGCTCTTGTTTATATATAGCAATAATACAATCTTGTCCTCTAAAGATTGCCATATGAAAGCACTATAACAGATGCTTCCTTCACTTTCTACTCAAACATTAAACTTCAGTGAAAGGAAAAAAAAAGAATTTGTGAAGAAAGTAGAGGCCCTAATCAATTCTTTAATTCACTACTCCCTCTGCAGTAGCCGTCAGATTTGATATAGGCCTTTCTCATTATTAGTAGAAAACTGATTGAGAATGTGCATGAGTGAACTTGATATAGTCTACCTGTTGTGAACTCACAATTTTTGCACATTTTTTGTTATTAAATGCAAAAAACAAAACTAAAAAAAATTAATATTTTAATTTCCTTTCATTCAGAGAATATTTTTAGTAGTATATCTTGCAGGCATGTTTTAACCAAATTCTAAGAACTTAGATGTATTTATATAATTGCCCACCTAAACTAGTTAAAATGTAACCCCGGCTCCAATATTGATAGGCATTATAGAACATCATTAGAGGTCTTTCAACCTTTATATGTGAAGTGATACTCATGTACATTATGTAACACAGACCTATTCTTTCAGAAGTTTACTTAATGTTCTTGTGTAGAAAAGCCCTATTTACTGATCATATGAAAATACATTAGTTGACTTGTACAAAAAAAGACTGACAAATGATATTGTTACATAATGGGTATTTTTGTATGATTTAAGGTTATTTGTTTTCTTACTTTGTCAAACTGAAGACTTAGCTGAGCGCTAGGTGACAATCTCGGGTTGTGCCAGTAGATGCTGCTTACTTGTGTTGACACTGAATAAAGCATAAGGGATAGAAGAATTTCTTTATTGATGTTGCAAGTGTTTCCCATTAATTCCCCATATTGTGCTTTTCCTAGCTACACCGTACAGTACTTTATTTTTCAGTATTCTCATTCCCTCTGCAAATTGTTAACTCACGACACAGTGAATGTGAATGCCCAACCAGTACCTTTGTTATCTGTGGCAAAGAAAGGTTATGCCCACAGTGGTATTTAAATAAGTGCTAACAGTCTTTCTCTTTAGGCTGATTTCCACAGATCCCAGTGACACCAAGTTTTTATTCCACATAGAAGACTCTGAGATCAGACCAGTAAATCCAACAAGAGGGGTCCACTAATGGGACAGTGCTAAGTTTATGGACTTACAATGCTAAAATACAGAGTTTGATTCCCTGTGGTGGACATAGCAGGTAACTCAATGTTGCTTTGCTGTGAAACAAACCAATAAGTGTGGCTTGGTTTTATGCTTGGAGAATTTTGAAAATGGCATCTCATTAAGTTTTATTTGCCTAGTGGAAGTGAGATACGGACAGAGATAGCAAAGCTCATAAATCAGGCAGCAGGAAATGGGAGAAAAATGAAAGCAGAATCAGAGTATGGGTGCCTTTTAGCCAAGATAGTGACTAAGATGCCAAATATCAAACTCAAGAAGGGTCTGGAAGCATACAGGGCAACATTAGAAGTTTTCACAAAGCTGGAATGGAAAACAAGATTTAGCCATCCGTCAGCTGGGTGAGTAAATAGTGCAATGACACAGGATTGGTTTGTTTTGAATTTTGCACAAAGCTACACAAGGGCTATCTGCAACAGCCTTCCTAATTTAGCAGTGAAAGACTAAAGGGAAGGCAGCTAGTCACCACCACCCACAGCCAACGTTTGGGCTACTCTTTTAACACAAATAGTGGGATTGACCGTCACATTATAATCCCCCTTGGCTGAAAGGACGAGCATGTTTGGTGGGTTGTGGATTCAAACCCGCGACCCTTAGATTGCAAGTCAAACACCATAACCACCTGGTTATGACACAGGAATGATCATCAAT